TTAAATTTTAGAGGGGAGACTAGTCAACAGAAAAATATACTTTCATTCTAAATATCTCACATTTCTCCCCTTCTTAAAAACATTAGAAAATTTCAGGACTACTGGCCCCATTACCCTGGTCTGTTGTCACTTTTGTTTTGGGAAGTTGGGATCCCATTTTTCACTGTTTCATAACCCAAATGTACATGGAATGGGGGCAGGGAGGAAAGACTGTATCCCTTTATGATTAGTCAGAAATCTTAACATAAAGAATCAGTCCTGTACACAACTTCATGTATACCCATTTCTAGATGTTTCTCTAACTGGCAGCTGGTAAGCAAAACAAAAGTCCTTAAAATCCCCCTTTTCCTCTACAGAACAGTTTTGTCAATTGGGACATATTAATAACTCTGTAAGAGAGTTCTGTTTTTATTTTAAATTACTATATCAGCTTTAATGCTGTCAATAGGATGTTCTGAAGAATAAAGTGAGAGCTTGGAAAATGCTTTTGTTGGTGGATACATAGAATTATTTTAACACATATACTTAGCAAGAGAAACATCTCTATTATAAATGTTGCATTTTTTTCCTTGTTAGAACAAAAACATGATTAGGATTTAAAAATCAACCTGTGCTCCGTGTCACTACTGTCAGATTTTCTTTAATTTTTCAATGATTTCAGTTTTGTCAGTGAGTGTCTATGTGTATCTGTGTTTGTGTGTGTGTGTGCCAGAGAGAGACAGAGAGACAGAGAAGGAGAGAAGGAGACTGAGAGAGACCTCAAAGGCAAGTTATCTTCCTTTTACAATAAAATGTCAGTTCATCTAGTCATGGTCTGATGCTAATTACTTTATTTTTTATTGTAAGTAATTTGTTTGAATTTCCTTCCAGTCCCACCTTTGCCCATAAAGAAAATAAAGAGGGTTTTGTGTGTGTGTTGATTTTGTTTGGTCAGTACCATTTCTGTATTTGTTTTCCAGTTCTGTCTTCTGTAAATTTGATTCAACTCATATTTATTAAACACCATAAAGTGTCAAAAACATTCAAATAATGGATAATTCAGCATATGCCCTTTCCTTGTGGCAGCAAAATTTTTCATCCTCAATTGATTATGGAGCTGAGCTACATCTAAGCTTTAATGGTCACTGCTTTGCAGTCATTTTGCCAGTGTGTCACATCTGTAGTTCAGCTGTAGTGCTATCTGGTAGTTTCTTTTCATTTTTATCAAAGAAAGATGAATCATATGAGAAACACACCTAACTGTCATAGCATAATATCAAAACATGACATTTATCGATAACAAATTGCACAGTAAGAGCACTCTTGTATAGGTTATGGTAACTTAGCTGAATGTTTTTGCTCTTCTAACAAATCACTAAGAGCTATAGTAATTGCTTGACAGAATTTTCAAGAAGCAGGTAACAAAGAATTGGGAGGCAAAGATGTAGCAGGGCCTCTAGCTTGAATTTGCTCTGTTACCTTTGGCCAGTCAGTTGTTCTAGTTGTACCTTGAATTATTGATCTCTAAAACAAGGGAGTTGAATAAGCGCAGAAAAACAATCTTTTATTTTTATTATTATTATTTTTGCTTTTGATTACTGTAAGGCATAAGGGCAGAAACCAAGCTATTCCAAACCCTCATCACAATGTCTAGCACATCAGAGTGTTCAATATATATCAGTTGAATTTATCTTTTTAATTTTTTATTAAAGTACAGTTGGCATAGAATATTATATTAGTTTAAGGTGTACAACATAGCGGTTTAACATTTATATATCTCACAATGTGGTCACCACACCAAGTCCAGTAACCAACTCTCACCATGCAAAGTTACCACACTGTTGCTGACTATATTTCCCTTCCTCTTTTCACCCATCCCTCCACCCTCCTCCCCTCTGGCAACCCTCAGTTTGTTCTTTGTTTCTGAGTCTCTTTTTTTGTTGTTCATTTGTTTTGGTTTTTTAAAAAATTCCACATATAAATTAAATCATGCGGTATTTGTCTTTCTTTGTCTGACTTACTTCACTTAGCATAATATCCTCTAGGTCCATCCATGTTGTCACAAATGGCAGGATTTTATTCTATTTTATTGTTGAGTATTTTTTCATTATATGCGTGAGTGTGTGTATCTTACATCTTTTTTATCCGTTTATCTATTGATACATGAATTAATTTATTTTGGTTAAAGTCTTGGGTAAAATGCCGATGTGTAGCAAACAAAAGGCAGAGCTACTTTGTTCGAGAGGGGTGGGTGGTAGGACAACACATGGAGTCAAGCCCCATGGACAACCCCTTATCTCTGCCTTCACTTCATCTGCCCACAGTGGTACTGTGGAAATCAGGGCTTTAGGGAACACATTTTAAAAATAAAATAAAAACTTAATAAGCATATAATTTTCTCTGGCTCCAACATTCTGAAATTCCTCTGCTAACTTGGAGTTGTCACATGAGAGTAATACGAAAGGTCTTAAGGATGTAGCATTATTATGTCATGGGCATGGGTGGTGGATTGGGGTGGAGAAGCACACAGCATTTTATACTTCCGAGTGCATGTGCTCCATAAGGATTTTATTATCTTTCTCTACACATCTTTTCTCTTACTATAAATTAGTGCCAGATGTAGTTAAACAGGAACATTTCTTTTATCTACTTTCTATAACAAACTGTTGAGTTGTCTACTTGTAACCACATAATCACAAGGTTTTATGAACTGAGTTAATTTACTGAGTAAGCCTGCTATTTTTGATACCACGGTTGCTTTTGAAGTTCCCTGAAATCATTTGATAACCAGAGCCAAAAGAATGTGGCTTTTTGATGTATTAATGATGAACTGTTATGCCAACATTTAGTGAATAATCTACTTATTTAGCTGGTAGGAGAATAAAAGTCTGTTAAGATCACTGGAGGTAATAAATAAGAGTATTTAAGTTTAATCAGAGTGATGTCAAATCTCTAACAAGAATTTCACAGCAATTGATATCCTATTAACCCAACTTTCTCTTCCCCTGCATCACCACCCCTGTGTTAAATATTAGCAAATATGAATGAATAATGCATTCAGTTAGTTAGGAAGAAAATCGATTGATCCTGTGTGTGGTTGGTCTCCAAAACCAGGGCTCTTAAAACTCACCCTGTTTTCTGAGTTGGGGTGCATTGTCCATTTGCACCGTGTTTTCTGTTAAAGAGAAATGGGGGTGAGTTGCTGAAGCACATTGAATTCTTGAATCCTCTGGTGATGAGGACCTGTGGACAACTCCTGGCACTGCTGACTGGATCAGCTTTCCAGTTGTCAACCAAACTGGTGTGTCTTCCTGGCAAGGAAGGAAGAAAGCCCTCCCAACAGAAACATTTAGTTCAGCAAGGCTTAATCCTTAATTGATCATTTCTGTACTTGCTCGAGTTGGAAGATGCAATGACAGATTTCAAGGGACCTGGGCAATTCAATCAGTGAGGGTGGGGAGGGAGGCTTACCTGGCTATTTTTCCAAAGTCCAGGGAGTCTAGTTCAGCTAGGAATGCAGTATGCAGTGGGAAACCTGTTTTCAAGATGCTTAATAGTAAACGACTAGATCTGTGGGTTGATCATTGATAAATTGATGAGCACACAGAGTAGAAGTGGATGCAAACATAAAATTCAAAAAGTTTATCATACAAATTAGTAAATATGTCAATATAAAATGTAATAGAAGTCCAATGCCACCATGGAATGCTACGCAGCTGTAAAGAAGGACCTTGTACCCTTTGGCACAGCATGGATGGACCTGGAGAAAATTATGCTAAGTGAAATACGCCAGGCAGAGAAAGGCAAACATCACATGATCTCGCTTATACGTGGAATCTAAAGAACTTAATAAACTGATGAACAGAATAGATTCAGTGACATGGAAGCATGGATCAGACTGACAAATGTCAGAGGGATGGAGGAGGGAGGGTGGGTGGAGGGGGAGAGAGTAACCAAAGAATTTATATGCAAATATGCACAACCCAAGGACTCGGACAATGGTGGGGAGAGGGACTGTGGAGAGGGATGGGACGGAGTGAAAGGGGTCATTGGGGAGAAAAAGGGACATCTGTAATATTTTAAACAAAAATAAAATAAATAAATAAAATGTAATAAATAATGGCAATAAGAGGTTTTGACTAAATGGGAGGTATCATTTAAAAATATGATCTTGGTGAACACTTGTATAGATGTTGGATTGTGCAGCTTGGACTGGTACTCATTTAATGCCACATTGCTACCCCACTTGTAGCATGTGTGTAAGAAATACTAAATCTAATCCCTAAGGTGTGGGCTTTGAGGCAGTGTGACTCAGGCTATGTATGGAAACTAGGATTCGGATTAAGAAGGATGAGGCAACATTATGTCCAAAACAACATTGAAAGATCTGATACATAGATCATGCGTAGCTTTAGTTAACAGTGAACGTAAGGTGTGCTTTAAGAAGGAAAAAAGAACAGGCGCAAACTGAGATTTGGTGAAAGGCGGCCATGTGTTCTTAAAGACTGACAAATCCTGGCTCAGTACTTGAACAGTCTCGTGTGATTGTCAGTTTGGAAGTGTTATATTTCACCCATGTACCATCTACTAGCTCTTCAGCCCTGGCTGGTGTTCTCAGTGGTTAGAACATCAGCCCGGGGACTGAAGGGTCTCAGGTTTGATTCCGGTCAAGGGCACTGTCCAGTTGCAGGCTCCATCCAGGGCCCTGGTCGGGATGCGTGTGGGAGGCAACCAATCTATGTCTGTCTCACATCGATGTTTCTCTCTCTTTCTCTCTCTTCCTTCCACTCTCTCTGAAAAGCAATGGAAAAAATATCCTCTGCTGAGGATAACAACAACCAAAATTAATAGCCCTTCAGTGTGCCTGTAGGCACTGCCTGCAGTATGTTAGTCATTTCGTGGCAGAATGCTGTGACACACTATTCTGAGACTGAAAAATATTTAGGAAAGTAAACTGTGTTCTATCCTTCAGCTCACGCAGCATAACAATAGTCGGTATTATTATTGTTGTTGTTTTTCAGCTCCTCTGACTGACAAGCCACCCAAGCTTCTGTATCCTGTGGAAAGTAAGCTGACAATACAGGAGGCTCAGCTGGGTGAGTAATTCCTTAATTCCAATTCATACACTTTTCTCAGTACATTCTGACAGTCAATAAGCCTAGATTGTAACCTGATGCAACACTCGGAGCTAATCCCATGTATATTTAAAAGGAGCAAAATTAGAAAATGCCAGCAAACATGGACCGCTCCACCCTCTGCAGGGCATGCATTAAGACCAAGCTGGATACATGGATGTAAAATCTCATGTGTCACTTAGATGGTGACTGGGAAATGGGATGCGCTGAAGGTTTTACTGATGGTGTTATACTGTCATTTGACAAAGCTGGGATTGTTTTTAAATCAGGCAATATGGATCTATTTGACTTATCTGTTATTACACTAAAATACAGTTTTTGGAAATTGGGAGAAAAGGTACACATTCATAAAAATAAATGTTACCATTACAGTTAAAATCATTTTAATTTAATAAAATATAACGGACGTTATGCTAGTTAAGTTATGGATGATGTATTAATAAAACGTGACTAAGTGGCTTTTGGTTAAAGGACTAATAGGCTTGGGACATAAGAACATGGACAGTTTATAATTTGATAAATATATCCAGTTGTCTACAAATCAGAATTCTAACATAATTATCTTAGAGTTTAGTCAAGAATTTCTGAGCCTGATTTTGCTATATTCAGTTATGCCAAATTATGAAAACTTTCTCATCTTAATTATAAATATATATAGCACACTTAATTATATTATTTTATTTTTATTTATATTTGAAATATATTATGCATGTCTATATCATCAACTTTAACAAAATTGTTTTTAGTGGTTTGATATAAAAGGATTACCAAAAGTATAAATTTAACCATATATTCTTCGTTAAGGAATTTTTTCATACATTTAACCATTGAGAGTAGAAATGCATTTATTGTATACAACTAAAAAAGAATCGATAGCCCATCTCTTAAGTTACCAATGTTATTATCATTCTTGGAGTTAGAATTTAAGTTAAAATTGTAAATCATCTTCAAAATGAAGATTACAGATGTAACAATCTTTACCAATTATATATCCAAAGTTATAGTGCAAAAAGGTAAGATGATGGTTTTAGAACTTGTCAAATTATTTTAGTCAGTAGATTTCTAACATTGGAAATACATATTAACTTTGAGGAAAGACCATGTGTGGGACTCACGCAAGTCATAATTCTAACATACAAATCAGAATTTGGTGGTGAACACAAATCTTTGAGTTAATGCCATATCCATGCAAGTCATATTAGTAGTATTTTAATAGCCTTTATTTTGAGATGGATGACTACAAGCAGCATTAAAGTGATTCTGTATATGAAACAAGCAGATATATTAAAATTGTTTCACGCTCTTTACTCATACTATGGTATATTGATGTATATTAGATTTGATTGTTACTTTCTAAAAAATTTTGAAATATAAATTATTGTAAGTGGCCATGCTCCTACAGACCTTTCACTAACTCCTAGGAAGATTTACTTCTAAGGGATTATGCAAAATTATAAAATCTTGGGTCAAAAAGAAGTTGTTTGTGGTACCAGTTGTGAGTAAGGAACATAGTGAAAATGAAATTAATTGTATCTCTTTACTTGGCAATATAATTAAAATAATTTCCTGATTGATGGCTGCCCGTTAGGTTACCTTATATTGTCCCTGAAAATGGAACAAATCAGATTATTCTCTACTTCCTATTAAAATGTTCTACAAAATGAAATAATTTGTAAAGCTTTCCTTTTAAAAATTACTTTTACTTACACAAAAATTACGAAGTCTAATCAAATCAATTTAACAATATGAAAATTCTTATGCAAATTGGAAGGGTCAACTGTATATTCATCTAAAGAAAAATGGGCATGGCTGCCATCAAAATCCTCCAGGAAATACTCTATTTTATTGTCACTGCCAACAGGAACACGAGTTCCCTTTAAACACCAAGTCAACTTGAGACATCAACCTGGAATATGGATTCTTTTATACAACTTTGGTTTTGTTTTGTTTTGTTTTCTGATTCTAGTTTTCAGTGTATAGGATAAATCATTTAACCTTAATCTTTAAATTTTGAGTAACAGTTGATTTGAAATAAGCACCTTTCTAGTGTTGTTATTGCAGTAGTATTGGAGTAGGTGAACAGCTGATCACAAAGAATAAGTGAAACTAGGAAATGATATTAAGGACCAAAAAAAAGATTCAAGATGTCTACAATATGTTTGTTTTCTGCAATAAATACTTTGATTTTTCACCTCCTTGGAAATTTAGATTTTGCTCTTTCCAGACTTGAGAAAGATATAAATTTCAACAGGCTCAAAATGTGATATCATATTACAAGAAAGGACACAGTAAAGAGTCACTGGGTGGCTCCAAAGAGGGACAGGGCACCTGTAAGTGGCACCTACTCTTATGAGAAGGTGAAAATCTCCAAATGAGGTTTATTGGTTAAGAGCTCAGGCATCTGATGCAACCTTGTCCTAAACTGACTCAACCTTGACATCAGAGGATAATAAAACTGCCACTTGAGTTATATTATAAAAACAGCCACCTGTGCTGAGTTGGTGCATATCTGATGTCCTAACTTGAGCGTCCTGGCTGAATGACACACACACCCACTGGACCTTGGTAGGTGCATACCCATCAGTGCTCCAGTTTGTCTGCAAATATAAAACTCATTAATAATGGCAGATAAAAATCATAAAATGCGTGGGCTTGTCACGTCTAAATCTCCTTTCTCTGCTATTTGCCGGCCACGCCTACTCTCCCTTTCTACGTCCTTCATGTCCTTTTATTCCAATTCCTTCATCTTCTCGAAACTGGAAAGATTCCGATAATGATCATTTAAATTGTTCCAATGTAGAAAGTAGAAAGCCAAAGGCACAACACAGGAAAGAACTTAGGGGAAAAAATGAAATAGTAACTAAATTCATAGAAAACAGGTCAACTGGTGGGTCTGAATTTCAATCAGCATGTGGTCACGGAATAGCATTTCTATTTTAAGTGGCATCTGTGTGTTACTTCTAATGTGAAAAAAGAAAATTGTCCTTTTAAAATAACTTTCAGGCATCAGCAAATATGCGGGCAGCACTTTCATAGGCAAAAGGCCCAGAAATCACATGGTTCAGTTCTGAAGCCCAGTCCAGAGAGTGACCCTGACTTAGTCCGTTCGGGCCCCCGTAGCCGAGGGAACCCTAGGACACACCATTGTCTCGCTGAGTCGGAGCCCTGAGAATGGCAGTCAGACATGTGTCCTTCCTGCGATGGCCAGGAGCCCATTTCCAAAACCTTCCAGAATAGAGGATGTTACATTCATCATCACGAGACTTTCAAAGAGTAGAAATCCATCTTGCCCTTGGCCTAGTGAGACACACCTTATTTTACAACTTAGAATTTTGGTTTTGCTTTAAAAAATAACTATACCAGTTAATGGTAGAAATTTGGGGGAAATACAGAAAGGAATCCTGTTTCTTACACTTTACATCGCATAAACATTTCACTCCTATTAAGTATTCTCAGAAAATACTCTTCAAGTGGCTACATAATATCCACGTGAATCTCCTCTAATTTCATAAATAGCTGAAATTTTGATTTTTCAGATTTTATTATAAACAATAACACAATGATCTTTATCTTTACATCTCCCCCGGCCTATGATTATTTTATCATGACAGATTCCTAAAAGGAACAATAGGGTGAGAGGAAATAATTTTGTTTAAGTTTCTTGCTACATGTTTTCAGAATTCTCACTAGAAAAGTTGTACAAACTCTCACTGAACTATATAATAATAACTTTTAAAATCTCTAATAAAATGATATCTTTGTAGCATAGAGCCCTTGAAGGAAAAGTGACTGTTCTTCAATAT